TGTCTCTCCTCAATTTTTTTAATTCTCTCCATTAATGTCTTGATGTCTGGGTTTGTTACATGTAGCCAGTCATTCTGGGGACTCTTCATTGTCTGTGTTCCAGAATCTGTTTTCTCATTGTCTGATCTCCCAGGGGTCTGTGTAAGACCTATATTCTTCTTTTGGTTTTTCTTCATTTGTGCGGTTTTTCCCCCTCCTTACTTTTTCCTTCCCTCTACGTCACCGTCTTCTTTAATTCTGTTATTCAGGGGTAAAGGGATTGGTTTTACTTCTGTTTGTTCAATCTCCTATTCTTTATGTATGCCCTCTTACTTTGTTCAATTCTGGAGTTGCACTGTAGGTTGGGGGTGGTCCTTTTTGCAGTTTTGAGATTTACTTGAGGGGGGAGCTGTGATTCAAAATCTATCTGCAGGTCCTGGTATTCGCTGACAGGTGTGTGGATAATCTGGAACCCACTTCCCACTGCCTTGGAATCTGTCCATGCAGTGAGGCTGTAGGTTTACTCCCTGAAATAAAATGTGGTTAGCAGAGGGAAGAGAATGGAGCCGACAGTGGGTTGAAGAGGGGGGTGGAGAGATAGAGGAGTAAGGGGGGAAACAAACAAGTGTGCCAACAAATGGACAGAGAGACCTATACTGAAACAGATAAAAACAATATACCACAGCTACAGATGAACCAACTCCCATACAAAAAAAAAATTAAAACATATAGTGATGCTAACATACAAGCTAGCCAACCACCTTATTGGTGTACTGTTCCTCTATACAAAGATATGGTTTACAGAGAGAAGAAAAGGAAGAGGGAAAAAAAGGAACAATACAGTAGGAATAGAATTAAGTCATTAAACTAACAGAATCAACGAAGCACACTCTGAGACTTTTCGTTTAAGTCCAATGTCCTTTCAGTTTTCTGAAAGTGATTTATAGCTTTCTTTTCAAGCTGGTAAATTAGCTTGTAGTTAGGGTCAGTTGCCCCTGGTCTGCTGTGATGGACAGTTCTGATCACCCTCCGTTCACCACTTTGGCCTACGTCTTTTTCAAGCTTGTTTCTCCTGTTTCAGTGTTGTTACCTTGAATCGCCAGCAGGTGGTGCTATCTCAGCTGCTCGCCCCAGAGGGGGTGGGGCTGGACAGGAACCGGCAGAGACTGAAGATGGATGCCTGCCTTAGGGCACACAGCAGGAGACTCAGGACGTCTCGGGTCGCAGGAGAGATGGCAGCGATCCCAGCAGATCTTCCCTGAAGGGGCTTCAAGAACTGAAGTTGTGGATCGCCTCTGAACCCGGTGGTGTGATGTGCTACCGGCGATGGCTGCGCTGCAGTGGCTATCCAGTTCGCTGCGATGCCCCAGCGGTGGCAATGGCCGAGCTCTGTATGAAGAGCAGACTGCGATGTTGAGGTCCGCAGCCCCCGGGGCGAGAGCCAGAGACCCACTGTAGTTCTCCTTTGCAGAGGGTCTCACAGACCAGGTTGCCCATTGCCATCTTGCTGGAAGTCCTCTGAAAAGATATTTTATACGATTTTGACTTTTTAAAATTTATTGGGATTTGTTTTGTGGCCTAACAGGTCTATTCTGGAAAACAGTCTATGTGCTGATGAGAAGAATGTGTATTCTGCAACTGCTGAATGAAATGTTCTGTAAATGTTTGTTAGGTCCATTTGGACAATAGATTCTATGGAGAAATTTAAAAGTTTCTTAAAACAAATGAAAATAAGAACACAACATACCAAAAACTTAAAGGATACAGCAAAGTTTAAAGCAATAAATGCCTGCACCAAAAAAGCAGAAAGACTTTCAATAAACAACTTAATGATGCATCTCAAAGTCCAATGTTTCTTTGTTGGTTTTCTCTCTAGATGATTTGTCCAATGCTGGAAGTGAGGTATCTAAGTTTCTGACTGTTATTGCTTGGGAGTTTTTCCTCTCTCTTTAGCTCTGATAATATCTGCTTTATATGTCTGGTATTGGATATATATAGTATATATATATATAGTTGTTATGCCCTATTGCTGAATTGATCCTTTTATCATTATAAAAATGATCTTCTTTGTGTCTTTTTATGTATGGAGTTGTTTATTTTATCCATCACCTCTCTTTCAGTGTATGTGTGTCTTACCGGTGAAGTGAGTTTCTTGTAGGCAGCATAAAGTCAGGTCTTTTATTTTTTATCCATTCACCTTATCTATACCTTTCAACTGGAAAATGTATACTGTTATTTAATTCAAGTTTGTTATTGACAGGTGAGCATTTCTGTCATTTTGTTAATTTTTTTCTGTTTTTTTTTATATATAGCTTTGTTCCTTTCTTCCTCTTTTATTGTTTGCAATTTGAAGGATTTTTTTTTAATGATTACATTTAACTCCTTCCTCTTTCTGTGTATCATCTCTACCATTGAGCTATATACTTTCATGTGTTTTCATAATGATAGATATCATCCTTTTGCTTCCAGATGTAATACTCACTTAGGCATTTCTTGTAGGACCAGTCTAGTGGTGATGAATTCCCTCTGTTTTTGCTTGTCTTGGAAAGATTTTATTTCTTCTTCATTTTTGAAGGATAACTTTACAAGATATAACAATCTTGCCTGAAAGAAGGTTGCTTTTTGTTTGCTTGCTTGCTTGTTTGTTTGTTTCAGTACTTTGATTATTTCTCTCAGCCTACAAGGTTTCTGCTGAGAAATACACTGCTACTCTGATGGAGATTCCCTTATATGTGACTTGATGCTTTTCTCTTGCCATTTTTCAGAATTCTCTCTTTGTCTTTGACTTTCAATAGTTTGACCATAATGTGCCTTAGAAAAGACCTTTGTGGGCTGAATCTATTTGAGAATATTTGAGCATTTTGTATCTGGATGTCTATATCTCTTGCAAGACTTGGGAAGTCTCCACCTATTATTTCATCAAATACAGTTTCTGTCTTTGCCAACCTTTTCTCCTTCTGGAATTCCCAAAATTCAAATATGTGGTCAGTTTATTAAGGCCTATATGTTGCATAGGCTTCATAGGCTTTCTTCATTCATTTTTATTTTCTTTTTTTTTTTTAACTGAGTTATTTCAAAATATCTGTTTGCAAGTCCAGAAATGCCTTCTTCTGCTTGATCTCATCTATTATCAAAGCTCTTGATTGTATTCTTTTTTCTGTTCATTGAATTCTTTGGTGTCAGGTTTTCTGCTCTGTTTGCTTTGTTTTTATAATATCTCTGCTGAATTTTTCATCAGATCATGAATTATTTTCTGATTTCTTTGTGTTGCTTATCTGTGTTCTCTTATGTCTCACTAAGTTTCTTTAACATCATTATTTCGAATTTTTCTCAGGCATTTCATAGATTTCCATCCTTTGGGATCTGTTACAAGAGAATTGTTGTGTTCCTTTGGAGGTGTCATATTTGGTTACTGAGGCAGGAAAATCACTAGAGGCCATGAATTTGAGACCAGCCTGGGCAACATAGTGAGACTTCATCTTTTTTTTAAAAAATTGTAAAAAATTAGCCAGGCATGGTGGCATTCACTTGCAGTCCTAGCTCCCATGAGGCTGAGGCAAGAGGATCACTTGAGCACCGGAGTTTGTGGTTACAGTGAGCTATGATTGCACCACTGCACACCATCCTGAGTGACAGAGTGAGATCTTGTCTCTTAATAAACAAAATAATTTTGAAAGACTTTCTTCTGGATATATTGCTAGTGTTGGTTGAGTTGGTGCTTTGGTTTTGATTTTGGGTGGACACAGTAGTGTAGTCTCCACATGATTTTTTTTTTCTTTTCTTTTCTTTTTTTTGAGTTGGAGTCTCACTCTGTCTCCCAGACCAAGGTGCAGTGGCATGCTCCCGGCCACCGCAGCTTCGACCTGCTGGGCTCCGGTGATCCTTCTGCCTCAGCCTTCCAAGTAGCTGGAACTACAGGTGTGCACTACCATGCCTGGCTAATTTTTTATTTTACTGTAGAGATGAGGTCTCACCAAGTTGTCCAGATGGGTCTCGAACCCACGGGCTCAGGCAATCCACACACCTCAGCCTCCCAAAGTGCTGAGATCACAGGCTGAGCCACCGAGCCCAGCATGATGTTTTCACTGTAGTTAGCACAGTGGAATTTGTGACCTCTTTGGTAGCTTAGGCTGCAAGTGTTAGTGGAGGCTGCACTAAGGCTTTACTGGGGAGAAGGACACTAGGCAGACTGGTCCTCAGGCACCAGTGGTAGCCGCAGTGTGCCAGGCATGCTGGTTCTCATGCCCCCAGGCTGTGTTCACCAGTGCCAGTGGGGCAGGCAGGCCAGTTCTCACACCTCAAGTTGGCATGCTTGAGTGCCCGTAGGGGCAACAGTGGGCTGAGCAGTTAGGTCCTTGAACTCCCAGGTGGTGTGTGTAGCATTGGTGGTGGCAGTGACAGCAGTAGGCCAACCCTCAGGCCCTCAAGCAGTGTGCACAGGCAACACCGATGGCAGGCTGGGCAGGCAGGTCTTCAGGCCCTCAGGAGGCTCGTGCAGGTGTCAGCACAGGTGGAGTAAGCTTGTTCATAGACCTTGGGTTGCATGACATGTGCTGGTGGGTGCAGGCAGAAGAGACCTATCCCTAGGCCCCCAGACAGCACACGTGGGTGCTGGTGGGAGACCCTTTCTTCAAGCACACCAATGGTGTATACACGGGCTGGCAGTAGGGAAGGCAGGTTGATCTCTAGGACCACTGATGATGCTTACAGGTACTGGCAACAATGGCAGGCTAAGTGGTCCTATCCTCCGTCCATGGTACAGTGTGCTCAGGCACAAGTGGTAGCAGGTGGGTCAGTTCCATCCTATTGTCAATGGCCATTTGAGTTGTCTCCAGTTTGGGGTTAGCATAAAAGTCCTGCTGTGGGCATCCCAAACATGTATTTGAATGGACAGATGGATGCCTGCCACCCAATTTTAAGACCACAGTGACCTTTTTGACTTTCCCTTGAGTTGAAAAATACCACTGCCTATGATTCCCAGAGAGTCTAGAGTCTCACATGTGCTCCTCTGTCACTGGCAGGGTGGATCCTACTGTCGGGAAACAGTCTTGAAAGGCGATTCCGATGGTACCTTCGTCCTCTTCCTCGGTGACTTCAAACAATTCCAGGATCAGAAGAAAAGCCAACGTAACCTCAGCAAGATTAGTTCTATATTGGAGTGCTCTCTACCCAAAAAGGAGCTGCCAGGCAAGACCCAGATCCAGAGGACCCAAGATGGGCTTGTCATCAAGGTGTCCACAGAACAGCAAAGAATCTCTTTCCAGGTGGTGACTGCCTTCAATGCTCTGGGTGAGTACTCTGGGTGGGAGAAGTAAAGCCAAAGGAGGTGGTAGCAGACAGCCATGTGGATCCTCTCGGCTGTGAGTGGGATAGATATCACTGGCACTTTCCAAAATGAGAGACCATAAACCCTCAGTAGAGAAGAATCCCCCCTGTCCTGAGCTCACTCTCACCTCTGGTACTTCTTCCCAACATCTTGATAGACTTTGCAGAAAATGTTCTAGATCCTAGAATCTACAGCAAAGCTTTTCAAACTATAATGTGCACATATACAACTTGGAACCTTGTTAAAATGCAAGAGATCTGAGTCAGAGTCCAGGATTCTGCATTTTTTTAGCTGTTGTTGTTGTAGACATGGGGGGGTGTCTCACTTTGTTGACAAGGCTGGTCTCGAGGTCCTGGCCTCAAGCAAATCCCCTGCCTCTGCCTTTCAAAGTACTGGGATTACAGGTGTGAGCCATGATGTGTGGTTCCTTTTTGTATTTTTATTTTTCGTAGAGTTGGGAGTCTTGCTATGTTGCTCAGGCTGGTCTTGAAGCTAAAGTAGTCCTCCCACCTACGTCTCCAAAAACACTGGAATGATAAGTATCAGCTACTCTGTATGGCCAGGATTCCATATTTCTAAACAGCTCCATGATGAAGATAATGATGTTGATGGCTTACTGACCACACATGAGGGTTTCAACTAGAGTCAATATTGGTTAGAGGAGGAAGATAAGGCAAACCTCTGGGGAAAGTCCAGCTGGAGCAAGCTTTTGAAGTCTACTTCATACCAGGCCCCATCAAGGCAACAATCTTTCATAGATGACCATCTACTGGAGCTGAGGGATGCCTCAAACCCAAGTCCTATATCTCCAAGACTTGCCCACTTCCAATGTCTTCTGTCTATCATCTAAGCCAGGGTTGTATCTCTGACTCCCCATCACCTTATCCACAGCCTATCATTAAGTCCCACCAGTTCTGTGTAACTGGCTCTTAAATCTGCTTCATTTTTCTCCCCAATGCCACTTCCCTAGCCAAGGCTGCTATCAGGGATATGGCAATGGCCTCCTAACTGTCTTGCTTCCTTCTCTCTCACTGCCACTGCAGCTTGAAGATCTCTTTCCAAGCACAAGTGTGATTTGGTCACATACCCTATGTTAAACCACCTAATGGCTTTTCACTGCATTTACTTACCTCACTAGCCAAACCACTCACCACCACTTACTCTCTATGTATCAGTCACTCTGACCTTCACAGACCTTCTCAAACCCACCACACTCTTTCAACTTGAGACTTTGGCCCATGCTGTTCCTTTGCCTGGAACATTCTTTCCCCAATCTTTTATCTTCGGAAACTTCAACTCATCATTTAAGTCCTCTGGTTTCTCACATATGGGTTACAGTCACCTCCTACATGCTCCAGTAGAAATCTGTGCTTTCTGGATCAGGAGATGTATGGAAATAACTTGTCCAGCTTTCTTCTCTCTTAAAATGTAAGTTGCATGAAGATAGGTGCCATGAATCTCTTGTTCTTCTCCCATCTCTAGTACAATGTTCATTATCAATAATAGTTGTTGAATGGATAAATGGATGGATGGATGAAAAATGGATGGATGGATAGATGGATGGATGGATGGATGGTTCCATAAATGTATTGGGGCTTGGGTGGATGGATGGATAGGACTCAGCATAGTCTCTAGCACAGATACACATACAATTACAAACTTAAAGAATTCCAGAACTGAAATTCAACCTCTCACTAAACAACTGAGGAAACAGAAAGAAAGAACACCACTCAGCCAGTGACTCACAGAACTAGAAGAAAAGCCCACATCTTTGAAGCCTCAGGCCAAGGTGCCTTCCATTAACTTAAGGAATTTCTGGGATACAAGAGAAATTAGCCCAATCATCCTCTGACATGGCGGATATATATACACACCCTGATCACTCATTCACAAAAAGGAGACCTAGTTCTGAGAAAAACATACCAGTTTGGGAAGTTAGCAGCCCTGAGTCCTTATTCTGACCCCACTACTTACCTATACTTGCCAACTATACCATCAGACTGGAAACTAACTTCCATGGGTATTGGGACTATCAAGGTTGTGAGTGTGGACCTGCCTCAAACAAGGTGAGATCAAGGTGGAGAGATACCTGTGGCTCCAAATTATTATAGGACATACTGTGTACTCTTGTTCAAAATGCTGTGGTTGGAGACGAGGCCAGACCACCCTCCCTTTGGTTCATCCTATCAGGCAAGGATGGTGTGAGAATAAGAAACAAGCTCTTCCTCACATGTGATACCCCGAAGCCACCACTAGATGGTGGCAAAGCAGCATATTCTAAACTAAGATCCCTTTTCTACAAGGAAACCTAAGGGTTGCTTTGTGAGAAAAGTAACCCACAGGAGTGGCAGGGGCATTCCTAAATTGCTTATTTTTTAAATTAAATACTTTCTTAACTAATCTGGCCTACTTTTTCCACTAGATCCAGGCCAGCTCCCTTCAGCTCTGCTTGTCTTTCCACTCCTGGTGTCACCACCACTCTTCCCAAGGTCATTGCCCCAAAGCAGAAAGTACCTGTTTACTTGACTTCCAGGTGTCTCCATTTCCTCATCTGTAAATTAGCAGTTGCAATTGTGCTGGTCACATAAGAGGTTTGTGAGGCTTGTGTGTTTCAGTGTATGTAAAAGGCTTAAATTGAGCCTTGCATAGAGTAAGCACTCAATAACTGTTAGCTATATTATTATCATGGTGGAGGAGGATAGAATGAATGCCAAAATCACGTCTAGGGGGTCAGTAAATATCTGTTGGGGTGTATGAAAGGAACGAGCTAGCTACTTTCTCCTGGTTGTTTATCTAAATGTGTTTAGAAACAGCGAATCTCAGCTAACAAGGAAGGGAGCCTTTCCTTGATGAAACTGGCCTCCATCCCCAGACCTCCAGACCTCTGCTCCCTCCTTGCCTGTCTCCCCAGTGTTGCTGTACTCTGACACTCAAAATATTAACCAAAACAGGATATTTACCGGATAAACTCAATAGCAGAATAGATTGATGTGATATGTCAACTTTGTTTTCTTCCAGGTGTGTGCCAACTGTGCCAATGTCAAAAAATTATTTTAAAAACCTGTTGCCGGGTAGGGTATGGTGTCAAACTCATGGGTTTGTTGACTCAACACTGAAATGAATTTTAAAGCAGCCAGCAAAGTTTTTGAAACAGGTTTATTAATGAAAGTAGGAAAGGGAAAGGAGGTTCATGCAAGAAAGAAAAGTGGCACGGGCAAGTCTCTAAAAAAGAAACACTATGCTTTTGCTTTTGACTAAAAGCTAGATATATTTTCTTAATAATTGATATACTAAAGATGGCGGAGCACAGAAGCTGCGGAGAAACTGCGGAGATACGTTATATCTCTGCCTCCGATAGGTGAGGGGGGTGGGCGATGGGGGTGAGCTGTTCCAGAACATGAATTTTGCCTTCGGGAGGCTACTTGGTGACTAAGAGCTAAAAGGTGAGCTGATTTGCATTCTTACAGCTTTTGATTCCTGGTCCAGGAACCACCTTGGTAGGGTTTTCCTTTAGTGATTAGAGAGGGTGAGAAGGACTAGGAGTCCACATTGAATCCACATTCCAGCCCTCAGGGCAGTTCGGCCTGCAGAAAAGATGTCTGGATGCTTCCTTACTAAAACCTGAAAACTGCCTGTAGGAAATTTTTCTGTCTAATGGTAATCTACACTAACTACCCTCCCTCAAACCTACTGTTTCCTTAATAATTTGGAGTATCCCCTTTCTCATTTATTATTGTACTTCTCATCCATCCCTTCAGTTTTTCTGATCCTGTCTTGGGTAAACACCATACCTTTATCATGATAATCATTTTAGGCCACATTTTATTATCTGGTGGGTCAAGCCACCCTTCCCCGTTATGTTTTATGTAAATAAACACCAGCCCTCTAACAGATGATGTATGTTGTCAGTCTACAGCTGAGTTTTGTTGTTGAGCAACCCTGATTCTCTGAGACCAGGTTACATAAATCCCCAAATTCCTGTTTCTCTTTCACATCAGGTCCTGATGAGAATCCCAGCCCTCAAGTCTACCGAGATCTCAAAAGTTCCTTGGATAAGACAAAAGCCATCCCCGGTGAGTTTGCCGTCTGCTTCACCGAACTCCAGCAGAAATTCTTTAGCAACCTCCCCAGAAAACTGAAGGATTTGATTCTCTTGGTAAAGCACTGGTATCAAAAGGTAATGTACCAATTGTGTGTGTGTGTGTGTGTGTGTGTGTGTGTGTGTGTATGTATTTGTCATTTATTTTTGTTGAGATAACTGACTTCCAGTAAAGTGTAACAATCTATCTGATGTGTGCAGATCAAGATTGGGTGAATAGAGAGGGTGGGACACAGGGGTCATGCCATTTTTGGACAAAAACTGCTGAACACTCAATGCAGTGTGGGCAGGTGTGCTTGTAAATCACCCATCGTGAAATGGGCAAACATGCTGAAAGAGTCTCCAATAAAGAATTCTCAGAATACAGCCCCTCACAACACTATTTGGTATACTGATGTTGATGGGTTCACAGAACACTTACCTAGTGAAGGAAGCCCACTGTCCAAAAGATAATTCTAATATTTTGCGGGGGTCCCTGCAAAATATTTGTTCATGCTGTTGCATGTGGTTGTCATTTTTCATTGTTTTGCAGTACTCCATTGCATTCATACACCACACATGTATCCGCTCTACTGCTGAGAGATGTTCAGGTCATTTCCAAACTGGACTATATGAATGAGGTGACTATGAATACTCTCCTTCATGCCTTTCTGAGAACTTGAGCACTCATTTCTCTCGACTAAATATGCAGTAGTAGAATTTCTGGGTTATACAGTACACGGAGATGGATGTTATGTGTGGTGTGTATACATGTGTAAATATATAGAACATACATATATGTGAGTTACCTGTTGGTTTAACTACAGTAAATGTTGCCAAATCATTTTCCAAAACTTTCTTACCAAATCGCACTCCCATCATCAAGGTGTGTGCTTTAGTTGTGTTACTGAACCAAACTGGGGTCTGCTCACCAGACACAGCAAAACCAAACATGACATCGGGATTTGCAGTGAGAGACAATGAGGCAGTTTTTACAAGCAAAGGGATTCAAGCAGCTCATGCTTAAGATCTGAGCTGCCAGGTGGCTCCCAGGTACAGTGTTTAAAGGCGGGAGGCAGAGTCTCCCAGCAAAGTCATACATCAGCACAGGGAGGCTACACATTGGCTTGAACAAAAAAGGTGGGAAATCTCCAAGTGGGGGGGTCACAGGCCACAGGTGGATTCAAAGCCTTTCTGATTTGCAATCAATTAGGGAGATGAAGCTAGGTCTAAAAGTTTGGAGTCAGCAGAAGAGACGGGAAGTTCTGGCTGTGGACATGACTTCCTTCAGGTCCCTCAGGAAGAAATTTAGAGCAAAGAAAGGTGGTCAGAGCTCAGGCCTCTGCCTCCCCTTATCTGAGATTTACTCAGCAGCAGATTGAGTTGGCAGGGGTCTGGGTTTCTGGAAACAACTCAACATGCTAAGATGCCATCTTTAGTTTCTGTAGGGAACAACACGTTTCCTGATTCTCACTTCCTATTGTTTTAAGTTATCATTACCTCCTTGCTTGTCTAATTGCTCACTTACTTCTCAAGGCTAGCAGGATGCCTGGAATTTTCCTTGAAGGAACTCAAGATTCTCCTTATTGTCCATGCCAGGGAGCCCCACTGGCACCTCAGTGGGGGCCTGCTCCGTCTCAGGTGCTCCACATCTTTGCCAGCTCTTGGTGTTGTCAGTCCACTGACTTTAGGCCTTGTGGTGTGGGACAGTGACTTCCTATAGACTTCTGGATTTTGATTTCAAATCTCAGACATGCAAGAAACCAGATCCCCAAATTCGCTGCTGACTCTGTCTTCTCTCACAGTGCCAGGAGAAACGTCCTGAGTTATCCTGGCTGCCTCCATATGCCCTGGAGTTGCTCACAATATATGCCTGGGAACAGGGATGCAAAGAAGAAGACTTCAACATTGCTGAGGGCATCAGAACCATTCTGAAGCTGGTCAAGAAGAAGGACCAGCTGTGCATCTATTGGACGGTCTACTACAACTTTGAGGACGAGACTGTCTGCAACATCCTGCTGAACCAGCTCCAATCAGAAAGGTGCCAAGCTCCCCATGCCTTATCCCTGTACCCCTTGATCTGAACACCAGGTGGTACCCCCTGGGAATGAGGTCTCAGTACTGTCCTGTCTAGCCAGTGGGGTCCCAAAAGAATGGTAGCCACCGTGGTGGGAGGAGGAGGAGTCTGTCTGGAGGAGGGAAAGCTGGCTGACACTTATCACATTCCAAACCCCTTATAGAAGAAAGGGATAAAGAGAGGAACATAGGTTGGCAGGAAGAGGAGTCAACTTCGTTATTTCATTAATGAGCATCCCTATAAAGCAGAAGATACCAGGCCAGAAGGGCTTCACGTCGTGGACAAAGGCCCTCAGCAGTGTGGAAAGTGGCAGGAATTCAGATCCAAGTCACTAGTCTCCCCTAAGGCCTCTTTCCCCAAAACTGATTTCTTCTCCCACAAGCAGCTTAACTGATCTTTGTAATCTAATGGGACACACAGGCCTATGATCTTGGATCCAACCGACCCAACCAACAAAGTCAGTGGAGATAAGCAATGTTGGAAACTGCTGAAAGAGGAAGCTCAGAACTGGCTGACGTGTCCCAGGCTGGACAACGAGCTGTCGTGGCCATCTTGGGATGTGCTGGTGAGAGGGTTTCCACACACAGCCTCTCATGCTGCAGGGAGGGGCCCCGACACCCAACCTGAGTCTCCCTTGAGAGTACCAAGTATTGGTCTCCTGTGACTGCTGTCACGAAGTACCACAAACTGACTTAAAACAACAGAAACACATCCTCGCCCTCATCTGGATGTTACAAGTCTAGAATCAGGTGTGGGCAGGGCTGTGCTCTTTCTTCGGCTCTGGGGAGGATCCTTCCCTGCTGCTTCAGCTTCTGGCGTTTGCTGGCAGTCCCTGGCTTGTGGCTTCTCCCTGTGTCTCCACACAGTCTTCCTCCATGCCTGTCTGTCTCCTTGCCTCCTCTTCTTATGAGAACAACAGTCATATTGAACCAGGGCCCACCTTAATGGCCGCATCTTAATTAGATTCCATCTGTAAAGACCCTACTTCCAAATAAGGCGCATTCACAGGTAGAGCTGGTTGGAGCCCCAACATCTTTTAGGAGGACACAATTCAACCCATAACATGCCATCAGGGGCAATGACTGTGAAGTGCAAAGGGGAACAAAGAGAAATGGGGCACCCACTGATGAGAGAGCTCCATTAATTTCTGCGAGAGGAAGCAGATGAGCAGGTGGTGATGGATGAAACAGGGCAGATCCCAGGAGAAGGGGTGGCTGGCAGGCCTGTAGCTGCAGGGACAGCTCGACTGCATCCAGACAGGTGCAGGGACAGGAAGAAGACCAGGGGCAGAAACAGCGGAGCCAACTGAAACGCCAGCCACGAAACAGGTGCATTGGTTTTCCACCCCCATCCCCAAAAGAAGAATCTCTAACAGAATTTTCCTGTGCCCTCTAAGCTTATTACGAAGGGCGACCCCAGCTGGACCTCCTCAGGTAAGACCACTGAGTCTACTGGCTTTCCTGAGATTCACAGGGGGCCAACAAGGGACCAATCAAATTCCTCATTTCACAGACAGGGAGCTAGTTTATATCCAAATTTTGAGAAGCGGGATCTACATTCCACTTGCACAAAATTGGGAGGGAAACTGAGCAAGACTTGGGATATAAATGGAGCTGTGAGTGAGCTCTTGGAGCCTGGAGGCAAAGGAGTCTGTGGACGAGGAAAGTCCCTAGTTGGATCCAGAGGCCCCTGATGCCCTGAGCAGTCACCCCTGTGTCCCCTCTCCCCACCCCCACTTTCACTGGGCTCCCAGTCTTTGCTCACTGGCCCCAATTTTCCTGGCTTCCTCAGACAGCTTTTTTCAAACAAACAAACAAAAAATCTTTTCCCATCATTTCATTCTGAAAAGCTTTCAAATATATATATATTTTTAAAAATTGACACATATGTTTCAGTAAACTCCTGAGTGCCCTTCACACAGATGCTCAAAAGGGTAACATTTCCCACACTTGCTGTGTTACGATCTGAAGGTGTACACATATGTTGTTGTTGTTGTTTACACCGAGACACTTAAGAGTGAGCTGCCGAACATCTCGTGACCCCTAGTTGCTTCCACAGTACGATCTGAAGGTGTACACATATGTTGTTGTTGTTGTTGTTTACACCGAGACACTTAAGAGTGAGCTGCCGAACATCTCGTGACCCCTAGTTGCTTCCACAGGGGTCTCTGAGTACAAGGACATTCTCCTTGATGATCACATGTCATGGTCAAATTCAGGAGGTTAGGATTTATGTATTTTCTGACTACGGTCATTTTTCAGAGTTTCACAAACATCCCAAGAATGTTTTTCCTAAGACATCCCTTTCCAACCCAGGGGCATACATGGCATTTGGTTCCAAGCCTCTTCTATACCATCTTTTGCTACCGGCTGTGACTGTTTTGTTTTGCTACCCCCATCAACCTCTGTTTCCAGAACTATGAGGCCATGCCTCTCTCTATGGCTATTGACACAATTTAGGCCCAGGAACCACTGCAGAAGGAGATCTGAGCACTGCAGGGCTCACATTCATACACACACACACACACACACACACACTCTCTCTCTCTCACACGTGCAAGCATATGAGCATACATGCACTCACATGCACACACACCCACGCGTACACATTCACACATGCATGCACGCTCTTCCACATGCACACACAAACTAACAAAGACATACGCACACACACACGCACACACCACAAGTATTTTACCCTGTGGGAGGGGTAGTGCTGGCAATGAATTTGCCTTCAGTGGGTCATTGTCCTCAGCACTGTGAGGTTCACTCACAACATCTGGAAGTAGCCAAGCTTGGCCTTCAACTTCCAAGCTGAGCATCCCTCCCTACCCCCAGTTGAGCGAGCCATCTTGTCAGAGTCACCAGCAAAAGCACAGCATCTGTATAGAACAGAGTGTTCATTTCCTCCTACTGCTGTTTAAAAAAATTCCCCATCTTAGTGGCTTGAAGCCACATGAACTCATCATCTTAGGGCTCTGGAAGTCAACATTCTGAAGCCAGTCTCCCTGGGCTGACCTCAGGTGTCCAGGACTCTGGGGAGTCTGTGTTTTCTTGACTTTTCAGGCTTCTCCAGGCCACCCAGATTCCTTGACTTGTGGCCCCTCCCTCCATCTTCAAAGCCACACAGCTTCTTCCAGACTCTCTGCTTCCGTCTCCTACCCTCTTCTCCAACTCTGACCACCTGCCTTCCTGTCACAAGGATGCTTGTCACTGCATTGGGTCACTCTGAGTAGCACAGAATCTCCCCACTCCAGACCCTCCCAGCATCCACTCCAGAGGGAGCACAGCCCTACCCACACCTTGGCCTTGAACATCTGGCCTCCAGGACAGCGAGAGAATAGACTTCTGTTGTTGTAAGCCACCCAATTGTAGTAACTTGGCATGCAGCCCTGGAAATGAATACACTTGTATACAGCATGTTTGACAAACACCAATATAACCTTAAAAAAGGAATGCCCGCAACCATCAGAAATCTGCAACAGCCACAGTAAGCAGGAAACTAAGGAAAGACCGAGGAGTAGGGAAAGAAAAAGCGTATCAGCCATTCCCAGGTGATGCTCCAACCAGTAAGGGGAACCTTGGGGCAGTCTGGAGTTAGGGACACCACAGACCTGTCTGAAGAAGGGTCCAGACCTCTTCCCGGGTGGCAGGAGGGGCAAACAGAAAAGCTTTTGTTTCTGGAGGATCCTGGGTACCACCCAAAACTCTCAGGTATGTTCTTGGGATCTGCCAGTGGAAGGACCAAAGATGGGAGGTGCTGGCCCATGGGATGGATGGCAGGAGGGGCAGGGCTAGAACCGGAGCGGGCAGGAAAGGAAGACTCAGGAATTGCTCAGTGCTGAGGGTCTTTTGCCTTTCCCCAGCCTTCGCCACTCTTCGCAATCTGGGATCATCTTCTAGATAAGTTCATCAAGGACTCCCTCCAGCCTGAAGAGTTCTTCCTAGTGGAGATCAACACTGCTGTCAAAGCCATCTGTACGTTCCTTACAGAAAAATGCTTTCAGCATTCACCCACCAAGATCCAGATCGTCCAGGTGAGCGCTGACCCTTCTCTTGGCTCTTACTGGAATGACAACACACTGGGTATGACCAGAAGGGAGATAGTGGGCACCGCCACTCTCTAGGACCCGACTACATTCCAAAACTTGGGGAAGGGAAGCTGGAGAGCCGGGGACTAGGGCACTGGTTTTCTTTTTCTTTTTTAAAAGCTATATTTTATTTTAAAGATATGGGGTACATTTCAGGATTAGTTATACAAGTGGACGTCATACAGGTAAAGCTTGGGCCTCCCTTTGGTTCCCATTTTGTCTGGTTTGAGATCAGGTATGCTTATTAATTTTATGCCCTGCTCCCACCCAGGCAATATCCCACTACTGCCAATCGCTTTCTGATAGTCTTGTGGTAAATGTTCAGGATCCACTTATGAGTGAGAACATAAGGAACTCTGGTCTTTGTTTCTGTGACAGATCACTGAATATGATAGACTCTAAATCCATCCAAGTTGCTACAAAGTCCATATGTTAGCCCTTCTTTATGGCTGCATAATATTCCATCATATATATGTACCATATCTTTTTTATCCAGTCCAGTCTTGATGGGCAGCATGGTTGGTTCCATGTTTTTGCTATTGTGAATAGTGCTACAATAAACAGGTGTATACAGATATCTTTTTTGTAGAATGATATGAGTTCCTCTGGGGGGATTGCTGGGTCAAATGGAAAGTCAATTTCTGGTTTTTTTAAAACTCACCACACTGTTTTCTGTAGAGGTTGAAGTAGTTTGCAATCCCACCAGCAGTGTAGAAGCACTCCCTTTTCTCTGCATTCTCACCAGCATCTGTCATTTTATTTTTATTTTATTTTATTTATTTTCTTGAGTTGGAGTCTCACTCTGTTACTCAGGCTGGAGTGCAGTGGCACACTCCTGGCCACCACAGCCTCGACCTGCTGAGTACCGGCGATCCTTTCACCTCAACCTTCCAAGTAGCTGGAACTACAGGTGCGCACTACCATGCCCAGCTAATTTTTTAGTTATTGTAGAGATGAGGTCTCACCATGCTGCCCAGGCAGGCTGGTCTCAAACCCATGGGCTCAGGCAATCCTCTCATCTCAGCCTCCCAAATGTCTGAGCCATCATGCCTGAACTTTTTGTTTGTTTGTTTTTTGAGTTGGAGTTTCATTCCACTGACCAGGCTAGAGTGCAGTGGCACGCTCATGACCAACGGAGCGTCAACCTGCTGGGCTCCAGCAATCCTTCTGCCTCAGCCTTCCAAGTAGCTGGAACTACTTGGCACACGCTACCATGCCTGGCTAATTTTTTATTTATTGTAAAGATGAGGTCTCACCAAGTTTGCCCAGGCTGGTCTTAAACCTTCGGGCTCAGGCAGTCCACTCACCTTGGCCTCCCAAAGTGCTGAGATTATAGACTGAGCTACTGAATTCAGCCTTTGTTGTTTTATTAATGATGGCCATTCTTACAGGGGTTAGGTGGTATCTCAGTGTGGTTTTGATTTGCATTTCTCTGATAATTAGTGAGGCTGAGCACTTTTTGATGTATCTGTTGGCTGTTCGTATATCTTCTTCTGAGAACTGTCCATTCATGTCTTTTGCCCACTTTTTAATGGAGCTGTTTGGTTTTTTTTTTCCTTTCAGCACATTTGAGTTCCTTGTAGATCTTAGATGTTAGGTCTTTGTCAGATATACAGTTGGCAAATATTCTTTCCCATTCTGTGGGCTGTCTCCCTGCTCTCTTGATGGTTTCTTTTGCTTTTCAGAAGCTTTTCTGTTTAATGAAATCCCATTTGTCTATCTCATCTCTTATGGCATAGGCTTTCAGGGTTTTGATCAGGAATTAGTTACCTACTCCGATTTCTGTAGTGTGTCTCCTGTGTTTTCTAAGATTCTTACAGTTTGAGGTTTTACATTTAGGTCTTTAATCCATTTAGAGTTGATTTCTGTGTATGGTGATAAGTAGGGGTCCTGTTTCAATCTTCTGCATGTGGTCAGCTAGTTTCCCCAGCACCATTTACTAAATAGGTTCTCCTCTCCCCAGTGGTTTTGGTGGAGGATTTGTCAAAGATGAGTTGGTTGAGAAATTCAGGTTTTGCTTCTGGAATCTCTATATTGTCCCACTGGTCCATATGCTTGTTCTTGTACCAGTGTCAGGTTGTTTTGATTATTGTAGCCTTAGTAAAGATTAAGGTCTGAAAGTGTGATACCTCCTAATTTATTTCTTTTGCTATGAATAGTTTTGGCTATTCATGGTCATTTATGTTTCCATATGAATTTCTGTATTGTCATTTCCACGTCTGAGAAGAATGATGTTGGTAATTTAATGGGTATTGCATTGAGTTTGTAGATTGCCTTTGGTAGGATGTCTTAACAATGTTGATTCTTCCTCTCCATGAGCATGGAATATTTTTCCATTTGTTTGTCTCTTTTTGGATTTCTTTGAGTGGTGTTTTGTAGTTTTCATTGTAAAAGTCTTTCACGTCTCTGGTTAAGAAGATACCAAGGTATTTCTTTGTGTATGTGTGTGGCTATTGTGAATGGAATTGCACCTTTTATTTGGTTCTCTGCCTGTTGTTGGCAGTGTATAAGAATGTGATTGTCTTTTGCACATTTATTTTGTACCCTGAGATTTTGCCAAAGTCATTTATCAGTGAAAGGACATTTTTGACAGATTTTCTTGGATTTTCAAGGTATAGGATAATATCATCAGCAAAGAGTGATAACAACTTCCTCTTTTCCTATCTGGGTACTCCCTGATTTCCTTCTCTTGTCTAATTGCTCTTGCTAGGACTTCCATCACAAAGGTGAACAGGAGGGGTAAGAGTGGGCAGCCTTGTCTTGTTCTGGTTTTCAGGGGAAATGGGGAAATGTTTCCAGTTTCTGTCCATTTAACAATATACTGGCCTTGGGTTTAATGTAGATGGCACTTACTATTTTGATGTATGTTCCTTCTATGCCTAGGTGTTCGAGGATTTTTATCAAGAAGGGATGCTGAATTTTATCAAAGCTCTTTCTGCATCTAATGATACAAGCATGTGGTTCTTCTTTTCACATCTGTTGATATATTTAATTACATTTATGGTCTTACAGATGTTGAACCAACCCTGCATCCTTTGTATGATTTTTGAGATGTATTGTTGGATGCAATTTGCTAGAATCTTGTTGAGAATTTTTACATCTATGTTCATTAGGGATATTGGCCTGCTGCATCTCTTTTTTTGTTTGAATCTTTTCCTGGTTTGGGTATCAATGTTATGTTAGTTTTGTAAAATGATTTGAGGAGAATTCCATCTTTCTCAATTGCCTGGAATACTTTAAATAGGAATGGTATCAGCTCCTCCTTGTATGTTTTGTAAAATTCCACTGGAAAGCCGTCTGTTCCAGGGCTTTTTTTCTTTTTTTCTTTTTTTAAGTAGGTAGTTTTCTCATGACGGAGCTAATTTCCTAGGTTGTTATCGGTCTATTTAGTGTCTCAATGTCTTCTTGTTTCAACCTGGGGAGGATGTGATATCAGAAAGTCCTCCATTTCATTTAGATTATCAAGTTTGTTTCCATATGTGTGTGCATAGTAATCTCTGATAATCTTTCATATTTCTTTGGTCAGCTGTGATTTCATCTTTTGCATTTCTGCTTGTGTTTATTTGAGATTTTTCTCTCTTTTTCTTGGTCATTCTGGCTAAGGATCCATCAATCTTTTTTATTCTTTCAAAGAACCAACTTTTTGTTTTGTTGATTTTTTTCTATGATATTTTTGTCTTCTGTGTCCCATATTTGGACTGTTACTTTGGTGATCTGGATTCTTCCACTAAAGTTAGGGTTTTGGGCCGAGCTCAGTGGCTCAGCCCATAATCCCAGCACTTTGGGAGGCTTAAGCAAGTGGATTGCCTGAGCCTGTGGGTTCAAGACCAACCCAGGAAACTCGGCAAGACCTCATCTCTACAATAAATGCTTTTTTAAAATTACAATAAATAAAAAAATTAGCCAGCATGGTAGCATGCACCTATAGTTCCAGCTACTTGGAAGGCTGAGGTGGAAGGATCACAGGAGCCCAGCAGGTCGACACTGGAGTCACCATGAGTGTGCCATGGCACTCCAGCCTGGGCAATGAAGTGAGACTCCAACTAAAATAAATAAATAAACAGGAAAAAAAAATAAAGTTAGAGTTTTGGTGATCTGTCTTTCCAGCTCCCTTAGGTAATATGTTAGACTGTTAACTTGTAATCTTTCCATTTTCTTGATGTCTGTTTGCAGAGATATAAATTCCCCTCTTAAAATTGTTTTCATGGCATCCCAGAGGTTTTGGTAAGATGCTTCTTCATTTTCATTTGTTTCCAGGAATTTTCTAATTTCTGGTTTTATTTCAGTGTTGGCCCAGTAGATGTTCAGCATCATGCTGTTTTAGTTTCTATGATTTTGTGGGCTTTGGGGAAATTTTGTTGGTGATGACATTTATGTTTATTCCACTGTGGTCTGAGAAGGTGCATGGCAATATTTCAACCTTACAAAATTTATTTGTGCTTGATTTATGGCCACGGATGTGATTGATCTCGGAGTACATTCCATGTGGTAATGAGTAGAATGTAGGTATCTCTTAAGTCCATTTGGCTGAGCATCAAGGTGAGGTTTTGGATTTCTTTGTTGATTTTTTGTTTCATTGATGTATCTGGGATATTTAAGTGCCCAGCTATAATAGTGTTAGAGTCAATATCTTTCTTAAGTTTACTTAGTAGTTGCTTTATAAATGCTGGTGTGCCTGTGTTGGGCGCATATATGTTTATGATGGATATTTCTTGTTGATGGATTGAACCTTTTATCATTATGTAGTGCCCTTCCATATCTTTTTTGATTTGTATAGCTTAAAACTTTTTTTCCTGATATTAAGATTGTGACTCCTGCCTTGTTTTGTGATCCATTGGCCTGAAAATTTGTTTTCCATCCTCTAACTTTGAGTCTGTGAGCATCACTTGTGGTGAGATGAGTTTCCTGGATGCAGCAAATTATTGGTTCATGATGTTTTATTCAGTTTTCCATTCTGTACCTTTTCAGTGGTACATTTAGTCCATTCATGTTCAGACTGATTATTGAAACGTGATTGTTTATCCCAATCATGCAGTTCTTTTAGTTTTTTCTTTGTTTTCTTTTAACTTTTGGGTTAATGTATGTGTGTGTTTTCAAGTTTGCAGTCATGATGTAATCTCTGTTGATTCTGTGTTCTCCTGTTCTCTTGGGAAGAGCATGGTCATTCTTTTTTTTTTTTTTTTTAATTTCTTCTATGCTTAATACTTTTTAAAGCATCTCCTGTAGAGCTGGTTTGGAAGCTGCATAATCTCTTAGGGATTGGATGTCTAGCAAAGATTTTAATTCCCCATCGCTGATGTAGCTGAGCTTGACTGGGTAGGACATTCTTGGTTGAAATTGAAATTGTTTATCTTTTAGGACATTGAATATTGGACTCCAGTTCTTTCTAGTTTATATTGTTTCTGCAGATAGGTCTGCTGCTATTCTGATTGATTTTCCCGTAATAGTCTAACCTTTCTCTCTTGCTGCCTTTAAATTTTTTTCTTTTGTGCCTACTTTGTGTAAGTGAATTACTATGTGTCTAGGGGTTGGTCTTCTCATTTGATGTCTTGCAACGGTTCTCTGTATCTCTTGTGATTGAATGGTCGCATATCTGGTGATATGGGGAAAGTTGTCTTGGATAGCCTCCAGGAATGCTTGCTCTAAGGTGTTCTCCCCTTCTTTTTCTTCCTGTGGGATACCAATTAGACATAGGTTCAGCCTCTTGATATAATCACACATCTCTTGGAGACTTTTTTCTTTCTTTCTGAGTTTTCTTTCTATGTTTTTGACAGATCAGGTTAATTCCATGATTTGGTCTTCAAGTTCTGAGATTCTTTCTTCTGTTTGATAATTTTTGCCTTCCATGCTTGTCATCTTGTTATTTATTTCCTGGATGAAATTTTTTATGGCCAAAATTTCTGTTACAAGTTCTTTCAATGTTGCGTTTTGTCTTTCTTGAGTCTTATTAACTCTTTCCATCCATTCCCTAATCCCCATTGTATTCTGGGGCCAGTCATTGGTGACTTCCATTTGGGCTCTGAGGTCTGATTTTTCAGGTGTTTTCTCTTTACACTGGGAATTACCTGTGTTGTTCCATTGATTTTGTCCTCGTTTGTGACATATCTTTCTTTTCTCTTTAGTTCCATTATACAGTGGTAGTAGGAGATACTTTCACTTCTGATATTTGCTCAGCCCTCTATTCTTTCCTGAGCAGGACTCTTAATTTGTTCTATTTTGAAACAGGGCTGTTGCTGTTTCTTATAGTTTTGAGATTTGAATAAGATGGAGAATGGGAGGCTAGGATTCAGAAACTACTTGCAAGTCACAATATTCACTGATTGTGGTATGGGTTGCCTGAGACCCATTCCCCACCACCACTCCTTATGACAGTGCAGTGTATATGTGTGTGTACCCCCTGAGCCCATGATACAGTAACAGCAATGAAGAGAATAGAGAAAAGTATAATTAAATAGGATGGACAAAAATTTTTTTAAAACACAGAAAAACAAAAGCAGAAACCAAAGCAAAAACCAAGTAAACACACACACACACAAACACACACACACACACACACACACACACACACACACACACCAAAATGCACTGGAAAAAAAAAAGAAAACAAACAAACATTTAAAAAGAAACCCTGAAAACTGTGTGTTCTACAAAATGAAAGAAGAAGAAAAAAAGAAGATTAAAAAAGGAACTTAAAATGAACCTTCACACATACATTCACACACACATTAAACTAAAAAAAAAGAGAAGAACAAACAAAGAAGACAAACAAAAAAACTGAAAGATGAATGCTCAATCATTCAGGTACACACATAAACAGAAAACAAAAAACAAAAGAAAAAAGAAAAAAAAAGGTGGGGAATGCAGATCAAACCCTCACAAACAGGTTCATGTGCAAAGGAAAAAGAAAAAAAATTAAAAATAAAAATAAAAAAACCAAAACACAACCTGCCCTCTTGTGGCAGGTTCTTTAATTGTTCCTCTCACCTACTCACTAGTAAGCCCCTCTGTTGTCTCCTATGGAGCTGTGGCCTCATTCACAATCTTCCCAGTGTCTGGTACAAGGAAGGAGGAGGAGGTGGGGGTGGGGGGGCCCTCCCCTCCTACTCTCATAGGGTCAGAAGGATCCCCTCCAATGGGGCGGTGCCTCTTCTCCAGGTACTGGGGTGGGGGCACCCCTGTCAGTCTTATCCTGGAGTAGAGTCCTCCTATTGTGACTAACATCCAGCCTCCACCTGGGTTCATCTCTCTCAGTAATGCCCCAGACATGTGGGTCTAACCTTCAGAGGGTTGCCAGGAAGGAGGGAGTTGGGTCAGCCCTGGACTCACTGGCTGATCTCTTCCTCGTCCTTTTCTTAGGACACTGGTTTTCAGTGACAACACCCTTTTGAGTCTGTGTTTGCTTCCTGGCACTGCTGGCCATCCTCAGTGCTTGAGGCCTGGAGACGCATCACTCCTATCTCTGTCTTAGCCATCAAGTCACCTTCTCCTCTCTCTTTCTCCTCTCCTCTTCTTTTCTAAGGACACTTGTCATTGGATTCAGGGCCCACTGTAATCCAGAATGATCTCATCTCCAGATCCTTATCTCACCTGCATCTGCAAAGGTCCTTTGTTCCAAATAAGGGCACATTAACAGGATCCCAGAGGACATAACTTTTCTTGGTGGAAAGAGAATCCAACCCTCTGCAGATGCTAAACTCAGGGTGTACTGGACGTTTCAATGTCTGAGGCCAAATGTGCTCCATCAGCTGAGCTAAAGATTCAGATTTGTGTTGTTCTTGTCCATGACTCAAAGGCTGCAGCTGACACGTTTCCCTCTATGGTGACACAACCAGATTGCCATGTACCCATGTCTCTAGAAGGGAGGGGGGATGGCAGTAATATGTGTGCATAAACATCTACAGTGATGCAGAAACAGAGTTGTGTTGTGCTGCCCTGGAAGGGGGATGGGAAACAGGATGGGATGTCCTGAGCCATGAGCAAGCCACCTCACTAAAATTCACGGAGGTGAAGACAAGACTGAGTTTGTGATCAACATTAGAAATGTTGACCTGTGTATTCTCTCCTCTCCTTCTTGAGACCCTGTGAACATGATAGTAGGTAAAAAGAAAAAAAAAGACATATGACACATCAAAGAGAATGGGAAGACAGCCATCAGCAGATAGAAATTGCCAAGGCAAGGAAGGTGCCATGCAGAGCCTGTAAGGGGGAGAGTGGTTCAGCCCAGGAGGAGCCATCAAAGCCCAATTCCTGAAGATGAAGACAAACACAAAGAGGGCTGTGTGAATGGAGTGGGTGGCAACAGGGATGAGTTGAGGATCTGCACACAGAAAATAGAACACACCCCTCCCTCACCTCCTAACCCGAGTACCTGGGCATCCACCACCCGTGGATCGAATAATTATTTTCTATTCAAAAACTGAATGAAAGAGGAAGAGGAAGAGGAGTAAGAGGAAGAACAGCAGGAAGAAGGGGAGGTGGGGAAAGAGGAAGGGGAAGAAAGAAAAGATAGGGAGGGAAGAGCAAGAGAAAGAAGAAAAGAAGGAGGGGAAGGTGGAGGAGAAGAGATGGAGGAGGCATAGAAAAGAGAAGAAGGGAAAGGGAAGGGGAGGAGAAGGTATAGAGGGAGGAAAGGAAGAAGACTACATGGTAGAGACACAAGGAGCCCACAAAGCCTAAAATATTGACTGTCTGGCCCTTCACAGAGAACCGGCAAACTCCTGTACCTCAGTCCTGAAGACTCATCCAATGATTCTGAACTGCAGGAGGGTCCTGACACATCAGGAGCGGATGAGCACTTGTACCATAGTAACTGCAATCAGCTTGATTTTGTTCAGGTCATGGGAATCCAGATAAAGCTAATTTTTTTAGGTGAAATCTCTAGGAAATTGACCTAAGAAGCAGGTACCTTGTAACTAGCCTGACACAGATTGTGTGCAAAGGGCAGGAGAATAATTGCCTTTGGAAGTGTATTATCTAATAGTTTGTAAAGTGAAACACACTGCTTTGGACTATGCTGTCACTGGAACCTAACACATAACTTGGCCTTGGAAACCTCATTCACTAGCCTGCCTGGTGCTATCCTATGGGGGCACAAGGATCTCAGTCTAGCAAATGGTGCATCTCAGCCTTCTTTTCTCCCACAGGGAGGATCCATCGCCAAGGGCACTTCACTGAAGACTGGCTCCAATGGCCACCTTATCGTGTTCCACGACTCCCTTAAAAGCTACACCTTCCAAAAAAATGAGTGCTGCGAAATCATGGAGGAGATTTACAAACAATTGAAAGCCTATGAGAATTTTGAAGTCAAGTTTAAGATTTCAAAATGGGAGGCTTCCAGGATGCTGAGCTTCTCCCTGGAATCCACAGTACTCAAGGAAAGTGTCGACTTTGACGTGCTGCCTGCCTTTAATGCTCTAGGTGAGATTCCCAGACCTTAGCTTCTGGAAGCCACGTGACTTAGTAACAGGTTGTGAAAATATACACCACTCATGGGTTAGTACCCCAAAGAAGGGAGCAGTAATCGTGGCAGTAATACTTTATGCCTGTGTACGATCTCAGTCTCATTTCCCATTTTGAATCCTAAGGACACTGGGAGCTACATCTTATACCCCCCAGTATTATCCACAATGTGTGTTCAAGAATGGTGTACACAGGGTTCCATACTCATAAAATACAAATAATATATGGGACGCTTGGTGTTCACCTTCGATTCCGGAAAAATCTTCTTTAGAAATTCAACTTATGGGTGACAGATACATAATGTTTATTAAAGGAAACTAAGACAATTTCAGGCATTTTCCAAATTAAAACCATGAAGACTGTAGTACTTTCCCTCTGAATTGTTCTCAGAAGGGGAACAACAGTACACTTTAGGGGTGGGCAAACTTTATTTGTGAAAGCAAGATAGCAAATATTTTCACTTTGAAAGCCATATAGCATCTGATGGAGCTACTCATCTCTGCCCTTGCAACATGAAAGCAGCCACAAATGATACGTTAACAAGTGGGTGTGGCTGCGTTCCAATAAACCTTTATTTACAGAAACAAGTAGTGGACCAGATTTAGCCCTGGGGCCATAGTTTGCAAACTTCAGACTAGCCCTGAACCAAAGGTCTTTGTGTGATAATGAAAATGCTCTATGCCTGTATTCTATATCCACTAAGAGCTCAACATATGGCTAGAACAACTGAGGAACTAAATTTTTAATTGTATTTCCTTTTAATTGAGTACAATTGGCCACATTGGCTGGTGGCTACTATGTTAGTGCGGGTCTGGATGATACTTTAATAATACCACCTAGACTCATGTAGATCATATAACTTTTTGAAAATCTCATTACTCTGGAGATGCTATCATATCATAGACATCAGTCATTCAAATACACTAACCCCATTCAAAGTAGTTTCCCAGAGTTTCCCAGGTTATATTTGTTAAAAGGTTTTTTTGTTTTTTGTTTTTTTAGAAAGCAGGATTTACTGAGAGGACAGAAAAGCTCCCACAGTGGGAAGGGACCCAATAGGGGTTGCCCAAAAGTGTTTTTAAATCTGCTACTTACTAAAACATAATGTTGCTGTCTCCCTCACACTAGGTCAGTGGAATTCTGATGCAACACCCAACCCTGAGGTCTATGTTGAGCTCATTGAGCTTTATAAATCCTCAGACACCCAGTGGGGAGACTTTTCTCCCTGTTTCACACTGCTGCAGCAAAAATTCATTCGCCCGTGGCCCGCCAAACTGAAGGATTTAATTCGCCTGGTGAAGCACTGGTACAAACAGGTACAACAGCTCTTGTTCTAACTATCTGGTTATTATTTTTTATCAGTAAGTTCTTACTTACCAAGTGCCCTGCTGCACCTACTCTCCCAAGTAGAGGGCTGAGTCGCTCAAGGGAATCTGCCCTCTGGGTATCTTTGTGGGGTTCCTTCCTCTCATCCCATTCATTTGGGTCAAGCTGCTACATATGGTTTGTTATGCCCTGACACTGGCCAGGTAATTCTGTAGGAATCCAAGTTATCCTGCCTGCAGAGGGTGAATGGAAATCAGGACTTGAATGTCTACAAGTGTCCAGTGTGACCATCTGCTGCCCGGTGCTGGCACTGTCTCTTAGGAGGAAGGTTGAAGCTATAGGTGGAACTGGGGCTGACTTTCTGTACAAGGGAGGGACCCAAAAAAAACAGAATTTATTTATTAAAATTGTGTACTTATTCTTACATGTTTTAACTTCAGTCAGCTTCAAAGTACTCTCCGTTTGATGCAGTACAACTTGAGATGCTCTTTCCAACGCTCAAAACAGTTTTGAACTCACCCATTTTCATGTCTTTTAGTGCTTATGTCATTTTTTGGTTTCACTTCTTCCATACTGGCAAAAGGTTTACCTTTAAGGACTTTTTTCATCTGGAGAAACAAAACCAAAAAAAATGTCTCTGGGGCAAGATTGGGTGAATTCTCAGGGTGGGGCACTGGGGTCATGCTGTTTCTTGATGAAAAGCTGCTGAACACTCAACACCGTTTGAGTAGTTGGGTTGTCATGGTTGAAGAACCAGTCACCTGTTTGCCACAACTTGGGATGTGTCTTCCACAAATCATAACACAACCTCAAAACTTCCAGATAAAACTTTGGTTGACCGTTTTATTCCGAGGAACAAATTCTGAGTATATTGCAAAGGGCTGACCCTACAAAAGATAATTTCAGGTTTTTCTGGGTCCCACCCCCACATACCTAGTCTGCCTACACTTGTGTCAACCACCTTGCACCTAGGTGGGTTTTGAATCCCCCAGGATGATGAACATGAGGCACAGTATCAGCCCTTCATAAGACGTATTCTTTCTGTGCCCTGCTCTCTGAAGCCTGTGACTGAAGACTGAGACTGAGCTGTGCAGTTTCCATTCTGGAAGATCACAGAGTTGGCAGAGTGTGTCTGCTCAGATGGCTCAGGGCTGTGGTGTGACCCTGAGCGAGTCACTCACTTCCTCAGGCCTCGAGTCTTTATCTAAAGTGGAAGTCACGACTCCTGGGTTGTTGGGAGGATTAGGCATGATGCAGGTAAGATGCCTGGGCCCGGGGTCAGCATGCAGTGAGTTTCTAGTGAACTGTAGCTGTATCGTGATCCTTGAAGGCACACATGGCCCAAACACAGCCCAGAAGCCCGTTGTGTGTTGCTTCCCTGCAGCCAGCTGAGCTCCTGTGAACCCACATGGTTTAGACACCCTAGCTGCAGAGTGTCAGCCTACCAGCATGGCACCATGACTCAGCCCAGCAGTGGCTCCTGTGTGACTCTCGCTGAGATCTTTCACCAGTGTCATCTGATGTTTCCACTCTTCCCTCAGTGTGAAAAGAAACTGAAGGAAAGGGACACTTTGCCCCCAAAGTATGCCTTGGAGCTGCTCACTGTCTATGCCTGGGAGCAGGGGAGTGGGACGGAGGATTTTGACACCGCGGAAGGTTTCCGGACAGTCCTGGAGTTGGTCACACAGTGTCAGCAGCTCTGCATCTTCTGGACGGTCAATTACAACTTTGAAGATGAGACTCTGCGGAATTTCCTGCTGAGCCAGATCCAGAAAACCAGGTGCCCTCACCCCAGCCCTGTCCTGTTCTTAACCCTGCTACCCTCAGTGCTACTTCAGAGACCCGGATTCTCCTCTCCTGGGACCGTGATTCATCCCTGAGGGGAGGATGCTAGCCAGGAGAACCTCTCAGTCTCCAGTGATAAGTTCCTAGGGAGGTAGGAGAAAATCCTGTCCAGAAGAAAAAGGAAGGGAGGGTCAGAGGCACACTCTCCTGAGTTGCTTTCATCTTTCTATACCAGAAAGAAACATGTGGATTTGTTAGCAAATGTAGGTGTTTGAGTTGATAGTGTGTCCCTGAGAATTATCATTTGCGGGCCAATTTATCCTGCAAAATGTGTGTTAGATGGGGGTTTATCTACTCTTTTAGGCCTTCAAGAATAGAAAGGAGGCCAGGTGTAGTGGCTCACGCTGGTAATCCCAGCATTTGGGAGGACAATGTCAGAGAATTTCTTGAGCCAGGGCTTCAAGACTAACCTGGGAAACATAGTGAGTCTCTACAAAAAAAATGTTTTAATAAAAAAAAGCTACATATAGTTGCACGTGTCTGTGAAACCAAGACTCAAGAAAAAAAAAAACATATAGTCATCACTCAAGTCCACCAGCGGAAGACAGAGGAAAGAGGAAAAATAAAGAAGCATTGAGAAAGAATAGAGAAGTAAGAGAGGACTGGATACCATGGGTTGCCCAACATGGGCTGCTGCCAGCATTGTATTTGATCAAGTTATTCCTCATCTTTCAGTTGACCTGGCATGGAGGAGAGATGTACATTATGCCTTTGTGTCTATGGTAATTAGCAGCTTACAAAACACTGTGGACAATTATAATTTAATTCTAGGGAATCACTTTGTTCATATATTTAATTTACTGACATCAAAGCGGTGAGAACACATTGTTTAGTAGATGAAAGTGGGATGGGCCCCGAATCAGAAGTCATTGGTTTTGGAATCCCCTAATGCCTTCTAACCCTCCTTCAGGCCTGTGATCTTGGACCCAGCGGAACCTACTGGCGACGTGGGTGGAGGGGACCGTTGGTGTTGGCCTCTTCTGGCCAAAGAAGCCAAGGAATGGCTGCTCTCTCTTTGCTTCAGGGCTGGGACTGAAAACCCAGTGCAGCCTTGGAAAGTGCTGGTAAGAGTCATCTGAGGGAGGTGGCATCTAGAGATCGCCCTTTGATTCAATCAAATAACCATTGCTGCAGCAACTTGGGAATGATTCAGATACAAATAACAGAAAACCCAACTGCTAGGAGCTTAAGAAGTCGGTTCCCTGCAACCCCCATTACAGTTATCCTGAGGCAGGCACACACTCACACGTGCACACCCTCACACTCATGCACTCACACACACACGTACACACATACATAAGGACACGTACACACATGTGCACTTGCACACACCACAAAATTCTGCCCTGTGGGAGAGGCAGTGCTGGCAATGAATTTGCCTTTAATAGGGCAGTGTCCTCAGCACTGTGAAGTCTACTCACAACATGTGAAGACAACTAAGGTTAACTTTCAACTTCCCAGCTGCATGCCCCTCCCAACCCCCAGGTGAGCAGGCCCATCTTGTCAGAGTCACCAGCAAAACACAGCATCTATATAGAACAGTGTGTTTGTTTCCTCTTAGTGCTGTTAAAAAAAATTCCCCAGCTTAGTGGCTTGAAGCCACACAAACTCATTGTCTTAGAGCTCTGTAGGTCAGCATTCCAAAACCGGACTCCCAGGGCTGACCTCAGATGTCTGCACGCTCTGGAGAGTCTAGGTTCTTTGGCTTTTCAAACTTCTCTAGGTCGCCCAGATTCCTTGGCTGGTGGCCCCTTCCTCCGTCTTCCAGCTCCTCTGCTTTCATCCCTAACCCTCTTCTCCAACTCTGACCACCTGTCTGCCTATCAGCAACAAGGGCCAATCTGGAATATTGGACCCAGCAGAACCTACTGACTTGTTGCTGCATCGGGTAACTTGGGTAGCGCAGAATCTCCCCACTCCAGATCCTTCCAGCATCTGCTCCAGAGGAGGCATGGCCCTGTCCACACCTGGCCTCCAGAACAGCAAGAGAATAATCTTCTGTTGTTGTAAGCCACCTACTTGTGGTAACTTGGCATGCAGCCCTGGAAATGAATACACTTGTGTACAGTGTGTTTGACAAATGCTGATATGACCTTTAAAAAGGAATTGCTGTGACCATCAGAAATCTGTAGGCCAGGCTCAGTGTCTCAGCCCGTAATCCCAGCACTTTGAGAGGCTGAGGTGAGTGGATTGCCTGAGCCCATGGGTTCGAGACTTGCCCGGGCAACTTGGTGAGACCTCGTCTCTACAATAAATCAAAAATTAGCTGGGTGTGGTAGCACATGCCTGTAGTTCCAACTACTTGGAAGGCTGACG